AGGATTTCCCATCCCCATTCCCATTTGGTGATTTCCCATCCCGGCCACCATTCCCCACTCCCACCACGATTTCCCACGGCAGTTCCCCACATCCACGATGTTTCCCAGGGCCAGCCAGGATGTTTTTGGGGCTGGGGGTGATTTTCGTGTCCGAGGGGAAGGGATGGAGCGACGCCTGCCCCAGCGGTGGGAGGGGATGATTTTGGGCTGGTTTTGGGGTTTTTTTGTCCTCTCTCCTCCCGGCCCAGGGGCAGCTGCTGCTCCCAGCTGTGTTTGGAGCACACCAGGACAGTGAGGCCGTTCTGGGGGGGGCCTTTGGGGCGGCACTCGTGGGGTATTTGTGGGAATGGGGGAATGTGGATGCTGGTTCCAGGGATGCTGATTCTGGGATCACCGATTAGGGACTGGGGATACTGGGACCAGTCAGGGATTCTGGTACCAGCACAGAGACGCTCCTGCTGGAGTGATGGTGCTGGTTCGGTACTGGGATGGTGATGCTGGTTCGGTACTGGGATGGTGATCTGGTTCTGGTACTGGGATCGTGATCTAGTTCTGGTACTGGGGCAGTGATGCTGGTTCTGGTACTGGGATGGTGATGCTGGTTCGGTACTGGGACAGAGATGCTGGTACTGGTGTGGTGGTGCCGATGCTGGTACTGGAGCGGTGACGCTGGTTTGGTCTCGGTGCAGTGATGCTGGTTCGGTCCTGGTTCGGTGGTGCCAGTTCAGTGGCCTTGGTTTGGTCCCGGTTCCGTCCTGCTTTGGTGGCCCTGGTTCGGTCCCGGCTCGGTTTCTGTTCAGTCCCGGTTCTGTCCCTGTTCGGTCTCGGTTCAGTCCCGATTCTGTCCCTGTTCTGTCCCGGTTCTGTCCCGGTTCTGTCCCTGTTCGGTCCCGGTTCTGTCCCTGTTCAGTCCCGGTTCTGTCCCGGTTCAGTCCCGGTTCAGTCCCGGTTCTGTCCCTGTTCAGTCCCGGTTCTGTCCCGGTTCTGTCCCTGTTCAGTCCCGGTTCAGTCCCGGTTCTGTCCCGGTTCTGTCCCGGTTCAGTCCCGGTTCTGTCCCGGTTCGGTGTCCACGGTCCCGTCCGGTCCCGCCCCGTGGCCGCAGTACCGCCCGTGGCCGCTACGCGGCGCGATCGCCGCGGGGCGCCGCGCGAGGGGCGTGGCCTCCCTGCGATGGGCGTGGTCTCGGTGCGGGGGCGTGGCCAGCGCGGCCCCGCGCGGCCCGGAAGTGACGTCAGGCGCGTGCCGGCGGCGTCGCCGTCATGGCGGGCAGGGGAGGCTGGCGCGTCCCGGAGCGGTGAGCGCGACCGGCAGGTCCGGCACGGCCCCGGCACGGCCCCGGCACCGCCCCGCCCGGCCGGGGCACACACGGAACCCGGCCGGGACCTGGCAGCGGCGGCGCCGTCACATGGGTGCCGTGGGGTGGGGGGCGAGGGGCTGAGGGGGTCCGGGTGTGAGGGGATCCAGGTGTGAGGGGATCTGGGGTGAGGGAATTCACGGGTGAGGGGGTACAGGCGTGAGGGGATCCGGGTGTGAGGGGTCCGGGTATGAGGGGCTCTGGGGCCGCAGGGTTTGAAGGTACACGGGCTTCAAACTTGGGGGTCCCTGGGCTGGACAGAGTTTGGGGGTCCCCAGGCCAGGGGGAATTTGGGGGTCCCTGAGCCAGCCAGAATTTGGGGGGCTCCCCTGAACCTGGAGGAATCTGGGGGTCCCTGGGCTGGCCAGGGTTTGGGGGGTCCCCAGAACTGTGGGGAATTAGGGGGTCCCTGGGCTGGCCAGGGTTTGGGGGGTCCCCAGGG